GAGTCTGACCAAACTGTGGGAGGCAGTGGAAGACAGGAGGGCCTGGCATGCTCTGGTCCAGGGGGTCACGAAGACTCGGACATGCTTTTCTACAAGGGTTTGTGCAGACTTAACAAAAATGTTTGTCGCTGCTGAGTCTAAAATCCAGTCTTGTCCATTGTCGTGACTGGTGCCTCGAACTGCTGCAGAAACATACTGGACTCGACTCTTCCTGTCTCCTCGCTTCCCAGCAAACGCAGGCCGCCCTTGTCTTGTATTTTCTCCCACAGACACAGTGCACTGCCGTACTAAATGCTTGGTTGACCCACAACGATAGCATCTTCTAACTGTGAACGCTGCTTCCTCTCTGTGGTCTACAACCTCTTTAGATTGCCGCTCCTCATCAGTTGCATATCTTTTACTGGACTGCCTCCCATTTCTGGAGTTACAGTGAGGGGTTGTGGCCTTCCTCTCATGGCGTCTTTCCTCCTCATCAAGCAAACACCCAGTTAAGAAATGCATTGTTAATTGGCTTTCTGGGATTGCTTCCAGAGTCATCACTAAATTGTCCCATGACTCAGGAAGTGAAGACAGCACAATATAAACTTTTCTCTGTTCAGAAAAATGTTCCCCAAGTTCATTTAACTGTGAAAATAAATCACGCATTCTTTGAAGGTGTGTTGAAACACATTCACCCTCACTTAGTCTGGCTCGGTACAGAGCTCTCATTAGAGTAATTTTGCTGCCAGCAGTGTCTCTAATATGTATTGCTCTCAGTGCTTGCCAAATCTCACTTGCTGTTTCAAGGTCTCGCACATGAGATAACTGAGACTTCTCTAAACTCAAAATTAAATTAGCATAGGCTTTGTCCTCCAGCCTTTGGTCTGCTTCATCTACTTCTTCATCCTCCTCTTTTACAGGAGGGTCAACAATAGCAGTCCAACATTGTTCTTTCTTTAAAAACGCCTGCATCTGTAAACTCCATGACATATAATTGGACTCTCCCAGTTTCTCTACTGGAAAATAGGAAGCTCCCCCTTGAGCTCCAGCTCCAAGTCCAGCCATGGCGCCACCCAGCTTTCAGCTTTCCACTCAGTCCTTACTCACACGTGGCTTGAAGAAAAGTTCGGCTCCTGGTCCCAAACAGACACTCCCTGCCGATGCCTTCACACAGCCAGCTGCTTGAGAAACGCTGAGTTGCTTCCAGTCTCTGGGTTCTTTTCACGCTCTGTCTCTGCCCACTCAGGACTGGGGACTGGGCCCATAACCTGTTGGAGGGGGATTTCCAGCCGGTGGCAGAGGACAGAGTGACTCCAGGAGACATAGGTGTAAAAACCCAAACTAAAACGAAGACTTTATTACTAAGCAAATAAACACAAACTCTGGTAGATGTTATTCCTGCAGGCAGGCAACAAAACTCAGCTTTTTTCCTTTATAGCAACGGTCACCTGCAGCCAATTAATCCCAGAAACTTCTTAAAAGTATACACACATGTTTCTGTGCCGAATGTCCTCTAACATAAACAACAACAACAAATCCTATCTCCTCTCAGTCTCCTCTTTTCCAGGCTAAGCATACCCAGCTCCTTCAACCGTTCCTAATCAGGCTTAGTTTCCAGACCCTTGAACAAGCTTGCTCCATCTTCCACGTGACAATAGCCCTTCAGATACTTGAAGACAGCTAATAATGTCACCTCTTACATCTTACAGAGCTAGTGTGGTGTAGTGGTTAAGAGCGGTTGTCTCGTAATCTGGTGAACCGAGTTCGCTTCCCCGCTCCCCCACCTGCAGCTGCTGGGTGACCTTGGGCTAGTCACACTTCTCGGAAGTCTCTCAGCTCCACTCATCTCACAGAGTGTTTGTTGTGGGGGAGGAAGAGAAAAGAGAATGTTAGTCACTTTAGAGACTTCTTCAGGTAGTGACAAAGTGGGATATCAAATCCAAACTCCTCCTCCTCCTCCTCTTCTTCTTCTTCTTCTTCTTCTTCTTCTTCTTCTTTCTCGTGTGCATATAAGCCAGCCAGTGTGGCAATAATGGTTAGAGTGTTGACCTGGGAGTCCAGGGTTCGAATCCCCACTCAGACCTGAAGCTCACTGGGGGGACGTGGGCCAGTCCCTATCTCTGAACCTACCTCACAGGGTTGTTGTGAGGATGAACGAGGGAGAAGGAGAACCATGCACACCACTTTGGACTCCTTGGAAAGAAAGGTGGCATATAAATGTTATAGATAAACAAAGAAAATAGATAATCTGATGGGCAAAGACCCTCCTGGCTTCTAAATCAATAGACAATAGATGATTGCAAAATAAATGACTACAGCAGCCTTCGTCATCCTGGCACCCTGCAGTTGTCATGGACTACAACTCCCATCAGCCGTGCTGGTTGTGGCTGATGGGATTTGTAGTCCAAAAATGTTCAGAGAGCACTTGGCTATTGGAGGCTGGAAGACAGCATACTGAGCTGAGCCTAACAGTCATGCATGATGTTTGTGGGAGTTTTATCAGTGATTTTTTTTGCTCCAAGCAAGTAAATAACTCAGTTGTAACTGCCGGGGGCCAGGAAAGACAGTTCTCTCCCCGTAATATATCCCCAAAGTTATTGCACCTTTGTTATTGCAGCTTAATTGTAATCTGCTTTGGGGGCTGGTCTTGGCTAAACAGTGGGCTATAAATAATCACATTCTTTGAATTAATAATAATCTCTTTTGCAGGCTTCCTTTCAGGGGACCTTACAAACTGCCATCATTTCTGAACGTAAGCAGTTGGGTGCCCAGGTGCCCTCAGCTGATCTTCATCACCCCTGTACCTTTGCCATTCACCTTCCTTCATTTCTGGGGAGCCCTGACTGTGTGAAATATGGGGGCTCCCTCTGCATAGCTTCAGGAAGCATTTCGCTGCGGGTGCTTGGAGCAAGACAAACGATTTTTAAAATGCCCAATTTTCCTCGGCGTTTCCTGCCACCTTAAATCTAGGGGGAAACTTCTAATGATCTCACCGCCTGTCAAATTGCCATCTGGTTTAGTTCCATTCCTGTTCTCACATCATTGATCTTATAGCAATCCCCCTCCTATATTTTTTTATTAAAGCTAGAAGGATACATCTGCCCACGGGACAAATCTGTTTAGGAAAATGTTTTCCTAAACTAGAAGTGACTCCCATATGAGGAAATATTGCGAGGTTTGGGACTGTTCAGTTTAACGAAAAGGCAAGTTAAAGGCGACGTGAGAGAAAGATAGAGGAAAGTTTCTCTCTCTAACATAACACAAGATCTCATGGACATCTGAAAGTCGGAAGATTAAGATCAGAGAAATGGAAGTAAGAACGTAAGAATAGCCTGGTGGATGATGCCAATGGTCCATCTAGCCACTAGGGTGGCTCACTCGGTAGAGCATGAGACTCAACCTCTGGGCTGCGGGTTCAGGTCCTACATTGGGCAAAAAGATTCCTGCATTGCAGGGGGTTGGACTAGATGACCCTCGGGGTCCCTTCTAACCAGGGGAGTCTTTAGCATATGTGCTGCCAGGGTGCGAAGATCCGCCCAGAGCCCCCAAGTTTGACAAGCGCAGCCGTTGTGAATGACAAGCGCCGCAGCTGGCGCGGCGCATCTTTGGTAAATGAGTGCACAAATTTGAAAGTCCTTTAGTGAAACAGTAGGTACAGTGGTACCTCGGGTTAAGAACTTAATTCGTTCTGGAGGTCCGTTCTTAACCTGAAACTGTTCTTAACCTGAAGTACCACTTTAGCTAATGGGGCCTCCTGCTGCCGCCGCTCGATTTCTGTTCTCATCCTGAAGCAAAGTTCTTAACCCAAGGTACTATTTCTGGGTTAGTGGAGTCTGTAACCTGAAGCACATGTAACCTGAAGCGCCTGTAACCCGAGGTACCACTGTATACATTTCAGTGATACCTAGGTATATATGTACAGTCATACCTCATGTTATGTTTGCTTCACGTTGTGTGTTTTCAGGTTGCGTCCCGCGGCGACACAGAAGTACCAGAAAGGGTTACTTCCGGGTTTCGCCGCTCGCACATGCGCAGACGCACAAAATGACATTATGCGCATGCACAGAAGTGGCCCTCGCATGCACAGACACGCAGACGCAGGTTGCGTACTTTTCAGGTTGCGAATGGGCCTCCGGAACGGAGGTGAGCTCCCGTTGCTCTGTCCCAGCTCCTGCCAACCTAGCAGTTCGAAAGCACACCAGCACAAGTAGATAAATAGGTACCGCTGCAGTGGGATGGTAAACGGCATTTCCGTGCACTCTGGTTTCCATCTTGGTGTCCCGTTGCGCCAGAAGCGGTTTAGTCATGCTGGCCACATGACCCGGAAAGCTGTCTGTGGACAAACGCTGGCTCCCTCGGCCTGAAAGCGATATGAGCACCGCAACCCCATAGTCGCCTTTGACTGGACTTAACCATCCAGTGGTCCTTTATCTTCTACTTAGATATGTCTTAGGACATGTGGACTTTTGGGGCTGATGCAGCAGGCTCTCCTTATAAGCGCTCTTTTTTGGAGAATATTAAAGGTAGAGGGTAAAGGGACCCCTGACCGTTAGGTCCAGTCATGGACGACTCTGGGGTTGCGGCGCTCATCTCACTTTACTGGCCGAGGGAGCCGGCATACAGCTTCCGGGTCATGTGGCCAGCATGATGAAGCTACTTCTGGTGAACCAGAACAGCGCACGGAAACGCCATTTACCTTCCCGCCGGAGTGGTACCTATTTATCTACTTGCACTTTGACATGCTTTCATACTGCTAGGTTGGCAGGAGCAGGGACTGAGCAACGGGAGCTCACCCCGTGGCGGGGATTCGAACCGCCGACCTTCTGATTGGCAAGCCCTAGGCTCTGTGGTTTAAGCCACAGCACCACCCATGTCCCCTGGTGAATATTAGGACAAAGCCTTTACTCTTCAAGTCCTGCTCAGCAGTGCCATCTCTTTTGTGCTACTTGACAAGTTGCCATGTGACCTGCTTGCTTGCCAGTCACCTGGACTCCTCCGGCTACAGCCTGTGTGGTTCTTACCTGCGTCGCCAAAATGCCGTGCCTGAGCCCTGTGTTGTGGGTTCCGGTGCCAACGACGCCGGCGGCTGTCACATCCGAAACGGCTCCTAGACTGAAGGTGGGGAAAAGGGGGGAATGTGAGCTGTAGCTAAGAAGGCAGAGGCTTTCTCTATTGTTTATTCCCCAAGGCGGCTGCTGAGACAATGATATTAGCGAACGTGACGTTTGGCACAAAAGGTAATTAATTGCCACCTGCTCCGGCTCCCGAACACGCCAAAATGAAATGAGACACGCATGTCACGGCACATCAAGCCACAGAACAAGCGCATTGAAATAGGAAGGCGCCTTGGCTGTTGATCTGCATTTCTGACAATACAGATATTCCTTCGAGGTGTGTGCAGCTTGGTGCGACTGAAATAGCACTCCAACCTGCCCCAAATTTGCAGGCAAACCTGCCTTTTCGACATTTCCCCTCCAACGCGAACCTTTCCTTCCAACTAATAGTTTCACCCAAACTACAGCAGAACAACAGTCCTTAATTGCGGGGAGCCTGCAATTATTCCGCAGATGGAAGGACAAAAAAAGAGGAGTCAATCCTATTAAGCCCTTCTGTGATTAAAAGGCTCCTTTGGCCACGATGTCAGGGCATCTGAGCAAATTTGCATGCGATGCTGCGAGCCCATTGCCTCCCGCAGGTCACTCCTCAAAAGAACTCATTTGCCACAAAGGCTTCTGAGTGCCGTCTCGGCTAAAGAGAGGGCATCGGGGGTGAAAGATCCCAGCTGGGTCCTTTGACTCACAGCGGCCTTTGCCAACCCGGTGCCCCCCTAAGCACCGATATTGTTGGCATTTCAGCACGTGCAAAGTTGTCTTACTTACATGGGCAAAGCCAAGCCGTGTTTGCTCAACTCGGTGTTCAAATCAGAGAGAAGGATGCCAGCCTCAGCTGTCACTTGCTTCTTCTCTTTGTCCACCTGCAAGTGATAAGATTGGCTCTTTTATCTGTATCTATATATAATAATGGGATGTGGGTGGCACTGTGGGTTAAACCACAGTGCCTAGGGCTTGCCGATCAGAAGGTCGGCGGTTCGAAGCCCCGTGACGGGGTGAGCTCCCGTTGCTCGGTCCCAGCTCCTGCCAACCTAGCAGTTTGAATGCACATCAAAGTGCAAGTAGATAAATAGGTACCGCTCCGGCGGGAAAGTAAACGGCATTTCCGTGCGCTGCTCTGGTTCACCAGAAGCGGCTTAGTCATGCTGGCCACATGACCCGGAAGCTGTACGCCGGCTCCCTCGGCCAATAAAGTGAGATGAGCACCGCAACCCCAGAGTCGGCCACAATTGGACCTAATGGTCAGGGGTCCCTTTATCTTTTTTATATATACCATATTTTTCACTCTATAGGACGCACCGGACCATAGGATGCACTGGACCATAGGAGGGGGAGAACGGGGGAAAAATTCTTCCCCTCTCTGCTCAACATCCCTTCAGTGAAGCGGCAGGAGAAATGGAGCCCCTTCCATTTCTCCTCCCGCTTCGCTGAAGGGGCGCTGCGCAGAGAGGGAAAACTGTGCAGCGCCTCTCCAGCGAAGCGTAAGCTGGAGAGCAAGAGGGATGGGTGTGCACTGACCCCTCTCACTCTCCAGGTTTCAGGCGGCTATCCGCAAGCCTTTGGAGTGCAGCGGGAACTCCTGCTGCGCTCCAAAAGCTTGTGGATAGCTGCCTGAAGCCAACGGAGTACAGCCTTTGAAGCCTCCTCAGAGCAGCGGGATGAAGGCTGCGCAGCGCTCTGCCTCGCTGTTCTGGCTTCGGGGATGGCCTTTGAAGCCTCCGCAGGGCAGCGGGGTGCCTTCACCCCGCTGCCCTGCGGAGGCTTTGTGCACCTAACCCCAAGCTAGAATAGTGAGACGGAGCGCTGCGCAGCGCTCCTTCTCCCTGTTCTGGCTTTGGGCTTAGCTGCGCAGCCTGCATTCACTCTATAGGATGCACACACATTTCCCCTTAATTTTTGGAGGGGAAAAAGTGCATCCTATAGAGCGAAAAATACGGTAATATTTTGTTCTTTTTACCATATAGGAAGTTACATTTGTTACTCAACAATTACAGTGGTGCCTCACAAGATGAAAGGAATCCGTTCCGCGATTCTCTTCGTCTAGCGGTTTTTTTGTCTTGCGAAGCAACCCCATTAGCGGCTAAGCGGATTAGCGCTATTAGCGGTTTAGCGGCTTAGCGGCTATTAAAGGCTTAGCGGCTGAGTTGCTAAAAGGCTATTAGCGGCATAGCGGCTTAGAAAAAGGGGGGGGAAGCGGGGAAAAAATGGCAAGACTCGCAAGACATTTTCGTCTTGCGAAGCAAGCCCATAGGGAAATTCGTCTTGCGAAACACCTCCAAAACAGAAAACCCTTTCGTCTAGCGGGTTTTCCATCTTGCGAGGCATTCGTCTTGCGCGGCACCACTGTATATCCCAATTCAACGCAACTAGTGACTTCCTGCTCCCCCAGTGTTGACGTTTATAACCCAAATTGCACATAATTGTGGTTTAAGGTTTGTCTTACTTAATTTCATCCTCTCCCAATATGTCTCCTAATACGTTCTGGAGGTCACCCCATGGATGAGCTCTGCTCCAAGTCATCTCTCTGGCCAGGTACTGTGAGGTGGAATCTGAGCTAGGTGGGCCATGAGAAGGACCCAGAAAGGGAGAATCCTGCTCTCTTACCTTGAGAACCTTGTTCATCCTTCCCATCTCGATCATGTAGTCATCCGTGCAGGCAATGTCCGAGGGGGAATGTCCACCTCCCACCACTTTCACCTTCTTACTCTTCTGCCTGGCCAGATCCAAGATCTGCAGAGAGGACAACCAGGCATTGATACAGAGGTGACCCCCGAGCTCAAGGAAGTGGAAGCCGTGGTCCTCTGGATGTTGCTGGATTCCAACTCTCAACAGCCCCAGCCAGAATGGCCAATGGTTAAGGATGATGGGAGTTGGAGTCTTGAGGGTCACAGGTTCTACATCCATACCCTGAGGCCTTGAGGTGCACTGATATGCCACCCCACCTTTCCACTTCCCATCCCCTCCATGATCTCTGAAGGCTCACCCTTCACATGGCGCCCTCCAGATGTTTCGAACTCAACTCCCACAAGTCCAGCCAGCATACATAGATGTAGAATTGAACAGGGGGCAGGAGGATGGGGACCAGCCTAGCATGAGTTGGCCCCACCCTCCATGGGCCTCCCACTTTCTGCTGTACCAGCCCCCACTGGCAAAGCCACTTCCGAGCTGGAGAGGAGATGGGGTTGCGGGCTTCACGCCCCCTCCACGTGCGTGGGGGCTGGCCTCAGTCTCCGCGTGATTGAAAGAATCCCCGGCCGCATCATCCCCTGGCCAGCCAATCGGCTGGCCTGGGGGGCGTGGCCTGCGCTATTTAGCACTGGCTCGGCCAGGGATCTCCCTCTCTTGACCGCTTCAGCTGCTCCGGTTTCCCACCCTGCACGCCCTTACGCCCTTAGGTTTGGCTCTCTGACCTTGCTATGGACCTTGGCTGGTCGCCGTTAAGGGGCCTGGTAGGAATTTTTTCCACTTGGCAAATTGTCTCCAGCCACCTGGTTTTTCGCCTACCTCGTAGCAAATCGCCACAAGTTCCTCGGCATTGGCGGTAAGGCATTGGTAAGTGTATTGTTATGTAGATGAGAGGGCGGAGGAAGCGCCATCACCTGCCCCGCATATTGAAGGGTATTCTGGTAAAGGATTCCAGGGGGCGTGGCCCTGTCCAAAGCCTATGGAGGTGAGGGCCTAAGCCACGCCCCCTATCGGTGACCCCGGGGTTTCCTAGTTGATGTGCATCAGCAGGACTCCCCCTCCTGGTGGTTAACCCTTCCTGGACTTCAAGCGGATGGGCTGAAGTTGGATATAGTCGGTTAGGACCAATGCCTAAGCCAATACTGCTCATTACCTGCAACCAATAAAGTAGTGGCCTTATTTAGCCCATTAACCTAAATAATTGTGTCATGTGTCTTTATTTCCACTGGGGGAAGGCGGGAACTCGCCACGCAACGATGAACCCAAGTTAAAAACAAGTGTTTGTATATTCTAGTCACAAGACCCCGTTTCGAAATCCTTGATGTCACGCCGATTGAACTAATGGAGATTATTCAGATGAGATTTCAATTGTGCTTGGTTTTCTGGTGCTCACGTTGGGTAAATTGTAGGAAAAAACGAAGGCCGCTGACAAAGGCCTTGGCCGAAATCATCGTTCTTTTTTTACTTGCTCTATCCTTTTGGAGTCATATCTCAGAGATATGTTGTTGACTTTTCCCATGTGACTTTAACCCTTGCTGACCCTGGCTCCCCACTGAGCTTGTGGCTACAGCAGCCTTCTCCTGGTCTTCCAAGACCATAAAGATGGAAGACTAGAAGGGTGAGCTTTGTTTGTCTGTCCGTTTGCTGCCCTACACCTGATATCTAGGGAAGGTTGGGAAAGTCACACCGACTGGAACCTCCCTCCACTTACCTCCTTGATCTCATCCACCGTTGTTGGCTGAAAATACATCTCCGGGGAGGAGCCATAAGTCTTAGCCCAGTTCTGGAATCTGACGCCACCTTGGCCATGGACCTAACGCCCAGAGACACAAAACAAATACCATTGTTCTAAGAATTTAAGGTCTCAAAGATATAATCTACAGTGGTACCTTGGGTTAAGTACTTAATTCGTTCCAGAGGTCTGTACTTAACCTGAAACTGTTCTTAACCTGAAGACCACTTCAGCTAATGGGGCCTCCTGCTGCTGCTGCGCCGCTGGAGCACGATTTCTGTTCGCATCCTGAAGCCAAGTTCTTAACCTGAAGCATTATTTCTGGGTTAGCGGAGTCTGTAACCTGAAGCGTATGTAACCTGAAGCGTGTGTAACCCGAGGTACCACTGTAAATGTTCATAAATTTACAAGGCAAACAAATACATAAGTATGTAGACCGCGCGTCTGAAATAGTACAGGAGAACAATTCTGAAACCATTTTGACTCTCCCAAATTGACTTCAAATGTTTCTCTGCAAGGAGGAAGGAAATGGGAAAACCTCTCGCTTGTCTTTTGCTTACCTGTCTTAAGGGCATATTTGTGTATGAATGGGGTGAGCCTGTGACCTGGATTCAGGAGCTAAAGTATGAACCATCACAAAAGAATGGCCAGGCTGCCCAGGTAATACAATCAGTGACCATTATCAGGTATCCTGGCAGGCAGGATTTCTGCTGCAGACCGCCTCCTTCTGTGATGTATGTATGATGTTTTTGGGGGTGGTCTTGGGCTACAGGGTGGGCAACTTCAAAAGTATATATAAGGGCTTGCACACCATGGTTCTGGGTTCCTCCTTCATTTGGTGATTGAGGACCCTGTTGCAACAGTTTAATAAAGACCAGGCGTACTAGCTGCTTTGCTTCTCAATATTCTCTGGTTGGCCTCTGTTATTTTCTCCTACCGATAGGGAACCCACTTAAGGACTCTAGGCGGGCTCTTGGATACCCCATAAGGGAAAAGGAGCAGATTTTGTTTACATCACCATTCAGGACGGTTTTTTGGACATAGTAAACCTATTGCCCATTATATAAAAGGTAAAGGGACCCCTGACCATTAGCTCCAGTCGTGACCAACTCTGGGGTTGCGGGGCTCATCTCACTTTATTGGCTGAGGGAGCCGGAATACAGCTTCTGGGTCATGTGGCCAGCATGACTAAGCTGCTTCTGGCGAACCAGAGCAGGGCACAGAAACGCCGTTTACCTTCCCGCCGGAGCAGTACCTATTTATCTACTTGCACTTGACATGCTTTCAAACTGCTAGGTTGGCAGGAGCAGGGACCGAGCAACGGGACCTCACCCTGTCGCGGGGATTCGAACCGCCGACCTTCTGATCGGCAAGTCCTAGGCTCTGTGGTTTAACCCACAGCGCCACCCGCGTCCCACAAGATAAGTTGGAGTACTTGTTATTAAATATACCAAGGAAAAAGCAAACCAAGAACTCAGGCCAACGTAAGTTTCAATAGTGGGAGTGGTCCCTAATCACAAATCAACAGTCAATAGTAACAAAAACTAATCCATTCAAAAATATGTATTCTGACAAGGATTACAAACTCAAATAGAGGTTACAAACTCTAACAGAGATTACAAACTCAAACTCATAAAAATATGTATAACATATTAGGCAATTGGATGAAAAGAATGGATGCTTTTGAATTCTCGTGCTGGAGGAGACTCTTAAGAGTCCCATGGACTGCAAGAAGATCAAACCTATCCATTCTGAAGGAAATCAGCCCCGAGTGCTCACTGGAAGGACAGATCCTGAAGCTGAGGCTCCAGTACTTTGGCCACCTCATCAGAAGAGAAGACTCCCTGGAAAAGACCCTGATGTTGGGAAAGATGGAGGGCACAAGGAGAAGGGGACGACAGAGGACGAGATAGTTGGACAGTGTTCTCGAGGACTACCAACTTGAGTTTGACCAAACTGGGGGAGGCAGTGGAAGACAGGAGGGCCTGGCGTGCTCTTGTCCATGGGGTCACAAAGAGTCGGACACGACTAAACGACTAAACGACAACATTTTAAAAAATAAAACCCTTTCACATTTGCACTGCTTTTGGCGACAGACATTCCAAGCCAACTTAAGGGAACAGTTTTGTTCTGTGCACTCCACTCCCATGGTTTAATGGAGAGCTGCGACTCCTGCATTGCAGGGGGGTTGGACTAGATGATCCTCTGGTGTCCCTCTCAACGCTACGATTCTGTGATTCTAAGTACATGGATGGCCTTTTAAGCCACTGTGTCTGGTTCTCCCTCTGCTCCCCGCACTTAAAATGTATATATTTAAAAAAGAGAGTTTTCTTACCATTGTGTTTGTGGCTTCTTTGAATATCCAAAGGAAAGCTTAGCAGGAGACTGAGGGTCTTCCTCCGAGACAAGGTGGGTGAGGTCTACAGCAGATCTCAGAAGAACAGCTGCCGGAATTGGGAGGAGGCAAGAGGCAAGGAGGGCCACTTTCTAGGAAAAAAAGGGTTAATGAGTAACCTCTGCTAGGCTGGCTTGCTGTTAATTTGAGACAGTTTGAGATAGTTGACAGACAGCAGGTAGAGATTCTTTAAAGCAAACTTTGATGATGATGGTGGCAATTGATGCTGAAGGAAGGATGAGGCGTTGAAAGCAGAGGAAACTTGACATGTATGGGGAAGGGCCCCAAGACAAGGGGGTTTCTAAACTGGGTCTGGGTTAGTTTCTGCCATTGATCAAGGGAAGTCTTAAAGGTAAAGGTAAAGGGACCCCTGACCATTAGGTCCAGTCGTGGCCGACTCTGGGGGTTGCGGCGCTCATCTCGCTTTATTGGCCAATTGGTACAGCTTCTGGGTCATGTGGCCAGCATGACTAAGCCGCTTCTGGTGAACAAGAGCAGCGCACGGAAATGCAGTTTACCTTCCCGCCAGGAGCTGGTACCTATTTATCTACTTGCACTTTGATGTGCTTTCGAACTGCTAGGTTGGCAGGAGCAGGACCGAGCAACGGGAGCTCACCCCATTGCGGGGATTCGAACCGCTAACCTTCCGATCGGCAAGTCCTAGGCTCTGTGGTTTAGACCACAGCGCCACCCATGTCCCTAAGGGAAGTAATAGTCCCACCCTATTCTGCCTTGGTCAGACCACACCTGGAATCCGGTGTCCAGTTCCGGGCGCCACAATTTAAGAAGGATATTGACAAGCTGGAGAATGCACAGAGGAGGGGAACCGTAGACGACGAGGGGTCTAGAAACCAAGCCTGATGAGGAATGGTTGAAGGAGCTGGGTATGTTTAGCCTGAGAAAGAGGAGACTGAGAGGAGATAGGATAGCCATCTTCAAATATCTGAAGGGCTGTCACAGGGAAGATGGAGCAAGCTTGTTTTCTCCTGCTCCGGAGGGTAGGACTCGAACCCATGGCTTCAAGTAACAATAAAGGAGATTCTGACTAAACATCAGAAAGAGCCCTTTGATGCTGAAACAGATTCCCTTGGGAGGTGGTGGACTCTCCTTCCTTGGAGGTTTTTAAGCAGAGGATGGTTGGCCACCTGCCATGGATGCTTTAGTTGAGATTTCTGCATTGCAGGGGGTTGGACTAGATGACCCTTGAGGTCCTTTCCAACTTTACAGTTCTATGATTCTATAGCAAAGTCCTTGCCAGGTTCAACTTAAAAAGACCAGATTGTTGGTATTTGTGAAATCAAACGTTGGCAGAGCCCACTGGTTCCAGAACCAGCATCTCCAGGGAAGGAGGCATCTTCCAGAATGATGCCCAGATAGTTTCTGGGCACCCACCGTGGGGCTTTTGCCAAGAACAGATATGTTGTCTCTGGAATGAAAGGGTTGGCACAGTAAACACTGTCTCCGTATCTCTCTCTCCCATCTGCTGAGCTGGAGATCTTCCTTCCGATGTTCTTGAGGTGAGCAGCACAGCTCGGATTCTCTGCTTTTCGAACCTCCTCAAACTGCAACTCCATCCCTTTCTCCTCTTCATCTGTTTCCTGCTGACACACCTGGCTGAAGTCGGGCGAGCAGAACAAACGAGCCTGGATAGCGTTCTAGGAAGGACAGCAAGCTTTCTAAATCCAGAGAGCCGCATTCTGTTTAACAGCGAGATCGCCTTACCCCTTACATGCCCACCTGGACATATCAATCTATGGAAGGGGCACTGTTAAAAAGTACCACATAATTCCACATTCTGTGGCAGCACCTGCACTGTGGAACTCCCTGCCTATTGAAATCCGGCAGGTGCTTTCACTGTACTGTATCCGGCAGCTGCAAAAAAAACATAGCCTATCCTATCCAGATATGTAGAATGTGGGTGGGTGTTTTAGTCTCCATAATTTAAGCTCCATCTGGTACGCAGGCTGAGACCCTCCCTGCCCGCAGACTATCTCACCAGAGTGGTGCATGCTCTGGTTATCTCCCGCTTGGACTACTGCAATGCGCTCTATGTGGGGCTACCTTTGAAGGTGACCCGGAAACTGCAATTAATGCAGAATGCGGCAGCTAGACTGGTGACTGGGAGCAACTGCTGAGACCACATAACACCGGTCTTGAAAGACCTACATTGGCTCCCAATGTTTCCAAGCACAATTCAAAGTGTTGGTGCTGACCTTGAAAGCCCTAAACGGCCTCGGTCCAGTATATCTGAAGGAGTGTCTCCACCCCCATTGTTCTGCCCAGACACTGAGGTCCAGCTCCGAGGGCCTTCTGGCAGTTCCCTCGCTGTGAGAAGCCAAGTTACAGGGAACCAGGCAGAAGGCCTTCTGGGTAGTGTCACCCACCCTGTGGAACACCCTCCCATCAGATGTCAAAGAGAACAACAACTACCAGACTTTTAGAAGACATCTGAAGGCAGCCCTCTTTAGGGAAGCTTTTAATGTTTGATGCATTATGGTATTTTAATATTTTGTTGGAAGCTGCCCAGAGTGGCTGGGGAAACCCAGCCAGATGGGTGGGGTATAAATTATTATTATTATTATTATTATTATTATTATTATTATTATTATTATTATTATCATCTGTTTCTTGCTTCCCCCCTAACAATTAATTAATTGTTTTAGTGACCATCTTTCCCCCCCTTTTTTTGTAAACTGCTCTGAGGGTTTCATTTTATTTTGCAATCAAGCCGTGTACAATTTTTAAAAATAAACAACTTTCCAGGGGCAGCTTGCTAGCGGTCGGCAGGTCCAGAGGAAAAAGTTTCAAGCAGGGAGACTCTTTCAAGCCCTAACTGGTGATGATGAGGTTTGGACCTGGGACCTTCTGAGTGCAAGGCAAATTATCTCCCCTGAGCCACACCTTTTCCCCATTAGCCTGCGGGAGCAGACATTTTCCTATAGGTGCTTCATTCCGAACATTCAGTCACCTCCTGCCCACTTTCTGCAGAAGAGAAGTTTCGGATGGCATTTTGGAACCAACCGCTGCTCTTTCTCATGTTGTTTGCAGCCTTGCTCTTTGTATATTTGGGTTCCTCCTCCCTTAAAAGGTAAAGGGACCCCTGACCATTAGGTCCACTTGTGACCGACTCTGGGGTTGCGGCGCTCATCTCACTTTACTGGCCGAGGGAGCCGGCGTACAGCTTCCGGGTCATGTGGCCAGCATGACTAAGCCACTGCTGGAGAACCAGAGCAGCGCATGGAAACGCTGTTTACCTTCCTGCCGGAGTGGTACCTATTTATCTACTTGCACTGCGTGCTTTCGAACTGCTAGGTTGGCAGGAGCAGGGACTGAGCAACGGGAGCTCACCCCGTTGCGGGGATTCGAACTGCTGACCTTCTGATCAGCAAGTCCTAGGCTTTGTGGTTTAACCCACAGCACCACCCGTGTCCCTTCATCCTCCCTTACTGTTGCTGTTCTAAGTGGTGTAAACCACCCTGGGACTTCGGCAAATGAATAGCACCACAACGGTACTTCAAATCAATAAATAGTAGTGTCTGCATCGGTGGGGCAGGCATCCCCTCCCCAAATCTTAAATCCCAGACTCTTAAGAAGCAGGCAGGGAAATGCATTTTGTCCCCTTTCTCCAGCTGCAGGCCAAAGTTCAGCTAAGATAATTGTCCTGTTAATCACAGAATGGTTAACATGCGGCAGCCAATAAGTTAACTATTGCCTGGATTGGTTCAGAGTCCCCATAAATTCCCCCAAACGCTTCTGGGCACATTTGAGTATTTTCCTTTGAAAAGAATTTACTGCTAGTCATCAAAATATAGCGCTCAGGAGACTTTTGAGAAGAGAAGGCTAATCTAGCTACAGAGCAGACTTTGTGATGATTAATTTTGTAGCTCCATTATGTGTGCGTGGCCCTCTGTTTTATGCACACAGCTCACTGGCAGTGCTCCTTAGGCAGAACAAGACAGGCCCCTGCCCCCCAAGGACTTGTTGTTTAGTCATTTAGTCATGTCCGCCTCTTCGTGACCCCCTGGACCAGAGCACGCCAGGCACTCCTGTCTTCCACTGCCTCCCACAGTTTGGTCAAACTCATGCTGGTAGCTTCCAAAACACTGTCCCACCATCTCATCCTCTGTCGTCCCCTTCTCCTTGTGCCCGCCATCTTTCCCAACATCAGGGTCTTTTCCAGGGAGTCTTCTCTTCTCATGAGGTGGCCAAAGTCTTGGAGCCTCAGCTTCACGATCTGTCCTTCCAGTGAGCACTCAGGGCTCATTTATTTAAGAATGGAGAGGTTTGATCTTCTTGCAGTCCATGGGACTCTCAAGAGTCTCCTGCAGCGCCAGAATTCAAAAGCATCAATTCTTCGGCGATCAGCCTTCTTTATGGTCCAGCTCTCACTTCCATACATCAGTACTGGGAAAACCATAGCTTTAACTATACGGGCCTTTGTTGGCAAGGTGATGTCTCTGCTTTTTAAGACTATACTATACTATACTATACTATACTATACTATACTATACTATATATTATACTTGCACCCTCCAAGGCTCCATCTACTTTCCAGTCTAGCTAGAGTTGTCTGGGAAGTAGATGGAGCCTTGGAGGATGCAAGTATAATATATAACTCTTAGCTCTTGTGATCCAATTTAATCACCTTTTGTTCCCTCTCTCCCCACCCCACCCCACTGAAGCAGTATGAACTTCTCCAAACTATGCTGGGTGTCTCATTCCAAAGTCTCTGGATAGAATCCCAGCTGCCAGGAGCCTGTCTTCTATCATTAGCCCTCATTGATGAGACACCACCAATCACCTTGGACTAATAGGAAGCAATCTGCGTAACCGAGAATGGCGCTCAGCATCTGTAAGGCCATTGTGTCTGCTAAACAGGTACAGCGGACAGGCCTCCCATGATCGGTTTAGGCCAGGAGCATGCAAATGCGGTGCATTTATGCAGCTGAATAATGCATGGCGCAGGCTGCAAATGCATGAGAATACATGGGAATTTTGAGAAGGCAGTTGCGATCTCAACCAATTGATTGCGACTGCAGAGTGATGTCAGTGATCTGATGGCTGCGAGTTTTGAATGCGTTTGACAATTAGAAGCACGAGACACTGATTGAATGAATGCAAAGTGGGCAACTTGCATATATTTGGGGAGGGCCGCGACTGTTGCCGAATATTCATACAGTCCTCAGATGTCAGACGTGTCTTCTATCGGCTTGAAGCCAGGGCAGCCCACAGCCATCAAGGAGAGCAGAATCTCTTGGGTGCTTTTTGCCCCAAAGTGGAAAGAAGCAGAAATCCCAGCAAAGGAAGAATGGATACCAAAACTTGTGGAATATGCAGAA